GGTGGGACGTGGCCTGGGGACAGGGTCATTCCAGGCAGGAAAAGCACTTCCCAAAGGAGCTCCATCCCTTGCCTTGCACGTTGCGCCCTTGCAGAGGGTGCCCAACCCGAACCCGTTATCCAGACCCTGCTGCGGGATCCTGGGGACATGTCCCGGAGCGAGGACGGGAGCCGGTTCCCGGTGCTGCGTCACCCGCAGGCAAAGCAGCTCCATCGGGGTGTTATCCGGGCGGTTTGGGCAACAAGATGCTGCGTGAGGGCGTCACCAGCCCTGGGGACAGGTGGGACATCATAGGGACATGTCCCTAGTGCTGGGACATCGGTGAGGGGCGGTGGAGCCACCACCATGTCCATCCCATCCTGGGACAACCTTGGCCGTGGTGACCATGAGCTGGAGGAGCTCGGATCCCTGCAAGAAAGGAGCAAGATCACAACCCTGGACATCAAGAGAGTTCCTCAGGGACCTGCTCGGAAGGAGCCCAGGGGATGGGACCTACAAGGGGTCCACGGAAGCCCTTTGATGTGCAAGGGAGACGTGGTGGGAAAGGAGCTCTCCCAAGCTCCGTTAACGGTCCATCCCAACGAGCAAGGAGTCAAGCAAAGGGAGAAGGAGACTTGCATGGAGAAACAAGGAGCTCCTGGAAATCTCAGTCACCGTTTTGGAAGTGTACAGAAGGTGGAAGCAGGGACAGGTAACCTCGGGGGAGCACGGGGACGGTGAGCGAGTGTGCAAGGATGGGAATAGGAAGGACAAGGCCTGTCTGGAGTTTAATCTGGCAAAGGATGTCAAGGCCAACAGGAAAAACCTCTTTAAAAACATCAGTGTGTGCTGAATGGAGAAGAGGCCCTGGTGACAAGGGACAGAGAAGAAGCAGAGGGCCTGAACACTTCATCACCTTGGTCTTTACTGGTAAGACCAGCTGTGAGGAATCCCAGGCCCTGGAGACCAGGGAGAACATCTGGAGAAAGGAGACTTCCTCTTGGAAGAGAAGGAGCAGGTGAGATCACTTTGGAAAATTTGCTATCTCCAAGTCTGTGGGTCCTGGTAAGATGCACCCAAGGGTGCTGAAGGAGCTGGTCAATGTCCTTGCAAGGCCAGTGTCCATCATCTTTGAAAGGTCCTGGCAATCCGGAGAGGTGCTGGAGACTGGAAGGACACTCATGTCCCCCCAGTCCTGCACCTAGGGAGGGGTGACACCATGCACCAGTAGAGGCTGAGGGCCGACCTGTTGGAAAGCAGCTCCATGGAGAAGGACATGGGGGTCCTGGTGGACACCAAGCTGACCAGCAGTGGACCCCTGTGGCAAAGAAGGCCAGTGGTATCTGGGCCTGGAATAAGGAGAGGTCATCAGGCCCCTCTACTGCACTGGATCCAGCTCTGGGATCCCCAATACAGGAGAGACACGGAGCTCCTGGAGCAAGTTTGGACAAGGGCTACCAAGATGATGAGGGAACTGGAGCGTCTACCCCGTGATCTGGGAGAGCTGGGACTGCTCAGCCTAGAGAAGACCCAAGACGTTCATCTTATCAACGTGTAAAAGTATCTGGAGGGAGAGTGCCAAGAGGACGGGGCCAGGCTCTTCTTAGCGGTGCCCGGTGACAGGACACCAGGCAACGGCCCAAAATTCCCATGAGAACCCGAGGAAAAACATTCCCGTGAGGGTAACAGCTTTGGAGGAGGTTGCCCAGGGAGGCTGTGGAGTCTCCATGCTTGGGGACATCCCAAAGCTGTCCGGATGGGTCCTGGCCGACGTGCTCTAGGTGACCCTGCTTGGTGGGACTAGATGGTCCCAGAGGTGTCTCCAACCTCCACCTCTTGGAGTCTGTGATCGGGTCGTGCTGGGACCAGCCCCCTCGTAACCTCTCGCTCCTCTCTGTCCCCTCCATGCTGCCCCACAGAGATTGATGAGGACCGGCTCCCCAACCCCCTGCTGAAGGTAGGCGCCGTGCGGGGGGCCGGGGAGGAGCGGGGTCCCCCCCGGGGTGACAACAGGACCCGGTCGCCCCTCGGGGTGCACATTGGGGTGCTCCTCGTCAGCGCCCACCTCACATCCCGCCGGTGACCGGCTCCGCCTCCCTTGCCGTAGGGGCTCGCGCGTGTCCCGCACCACCCCGACCATGAAAGGTACCGCTCACCCCCGGCCTGGCCGCCACCAAGGTCCCCCAAGCCGTGGGTGTCACCCCGGGGTGCTGGGGCAGCTCCTGGCGCGGAGCATCCCGGTGCCGGGCACGCGACCGAGGGCTCTGCGGTGTCCCCAGCCACCGGGAAGCCACCTCATCCATGAGGACGTGTCCAGCAGGCTCTGGCTGCCCCCAGCAGCCCCTTCCTAGGAAATCAGGTCCCTCGCATGGAGGTGACTGTCCCCAGCGCCGTATGGGATGTGTGGTCACAGCAGGGCCGGTTCGGGATGGCACCTGGTGACTTAAAGCACTTGGACGCGTTTGACTTTGCCTGGGCAGGAGTGTGTGTCCTACAGGGACACAACGCAGGGACAACCATGTCCCCAGAGCGGGGACAGCAATGTCCCCAGCACCATCTGTCCCCTGTGCTGCAGATAGGGATGGCAAGCAGCGCCGCAGGGGACCGGGTGCCACCAGCCTTTCGGTGCCCTCTGGAAAGGGTCTTGTCCCACCTTTCCCATGGGAACGTGCGTTGGGGACATCAAGGACGTGGGTCCTTCCCTGGGACATCCCCCGTTGGGTCTCACGGGCTCTCCTGCCTTGCAGAGCTGCAGATGATGGTGGAGCATCACCTGTGCAAGCAGGCGCGGGGCGAGGAAGAGGAGGAGGAGGAGGAGGAGGGCGGCCAGGAGCAGCGCGGCCCCGGGTGCTGCCACCGCGGGGACGGTGACGCAGAGCACAGCCACAGCCCCGGGGGCACCTGCCCGCTGGCTCAGCCCCTGCGCGAGGCCACCAGTGAGTAGAGCCCCCGTGGCCACGGGAGAGCCGCTCTGAGCGTCCCCATGTCCCCTTAACGCTGCCCGGGTGACACGGCTCGGCCGGGGGGTCCCCAAGGCCGGGCGGGGGGACACTGGGCACGGGCTGGAGCACATGGCCATGGTGCCCGCAGGGGCAGAGGTGGCGGGAGCCCGAGGGGACACGCGGCAAAGCCCACCCGGAGAGGGCACCCATATAGCACCGAAGGAGGCCGGGGGCCAGGGTGCTGCCACCAGCCAGTAGGTACGTGCTGGGTAGGGTGGCATCCATATGGGTACGTCCTGGAAAAGGGTGGGATCCATACGGGAATGTACTGGGATAGGGTGGGATCTACATGGTTTTGTACTGAGTTAGAGTGGGATCCATATGGGTACGTCCTGGAAAAGGTTGGGATCCATATGGGAATGTATTGGGATAGGGTGGGATCCATATGGCTTTGTACCGAGTTAGGGTGGGATCTATATGGGTACGTCCTGGGAAAGGGTGGGATCCATACGGGAATGTACTGGGATAGGGTGGGATCCATATGGGTACATCCTGGGAAAGGGTGGGATCCGTATGAGAATATACTGGGATAGGGTGGCCTCCACGTGGGTACATACTGGGATATGGTGGGATCCATGGGGACATCCTGGGGTAGGGTGGGATCCATATGGGGCATGATGAGCTCCATGTGGGAACATACCGGGATACGACGGGCACCACGTGGGTATGTCCTGGTTTGGGTGGGCTCTGCTTGGTTCCGTGCTGGGATATAGTGGGATCCATATGGGAATGTACTGGGATATGGTGGGATCCATGGGGGCATCCTGGAGTAGGGTGGGATCCAGATGGGGCATGATGAGCTCCATGTGGGAACATACCGGGATACGACGGGCACCACGTGGGTATGTCCTGGTTTGGGTGGGCTCCGTTTGGTTCCGTACTGGGATATAGTGGGTTCCATATGGGAATGTACTGGGCTATGGTGGGCACCAAGCCAGGTGACGGGAACAGAGCGGCCCAGGGTGACAGTGGCCCCAGTGGTGACACTCTGGGAACGGGGTGCAACGGACAGGGCTGGACCCAGCCCCACCAGGTCAAGGCCACCCCAGCGCCGTGTTGTCCCCACGGTTTCCCCTCCACACAGCGTGGCCCTCCCTCTGTGTCCCCAGGTCCCCCCGCGCC